TATGATTCAAATAAATGCGTTTTTCAAGCAAAAAAAAACGGACCGAATTAAGTTGTACACCCAATATTTAGAAAATTTGTATCAGCAACTTTTAAGTTTCAAACGTTTCTAGAAGATTTCATGGAAAGCTTCCATGAAGTTCAACTAGAAACCCATGAAAAATGCCTCTGACCACTAAAGTCGTCCTATGTAAGCTAAAGAGAAAAGGTTTTAAGGTAGCCTAAGAAGATTCTGCATTGTAAGAGGGTGGTTTTACAAGCCGTATCTCCACATTAAACACCATCGTGATAAACAATATTCTTCGTAATTAGCATATCTATGCACCCAAGTAGGCGGAGATTTGGACGAATCCGCGGCATTGACCCCATCGTATAGCTACCGTATCTTTACAATAAGCCGTGACTGTGAAAAATGGATGCTTTTTCATGATCAGCGTATGAAGTAATCCCTGGACGAAAGAAACAGACGGAGGAGCGACAGTGACTTCTTAGCGTACGACTACCGCATCTTTACAGTAAGTCGCTACCGTGAGAAATGAATGGCTTTTTAATGATCAGCGTACCAGATAACCTTCCTAGGTAAAGTTTTAAATAGATTCACGACAGTGACCTCCTGCCGTATGCCTACAGTATGCCCTAGATGTTCCTGTAGTGTGATACACTGGAAGATTCCTCTCAACGAGCTGAGTCTAGCGCCGCTTTCTCCTTTAGAAAATATCTATTTTGCAAGAAGATATAACGATGCGACGCTTTGCGACGGATTTTTATGTGAAATCACGTTTTTTTTTTTTTGCAGGAGTTATGAGCGGTATTGTATGTATGATTGGAGCAGTACGAAAGTTGTTATTCCCGAGAAATTACGCTCATTTGCGTTGATACAAGAGAACGCCTGAGCTTTGCTCATGTCTACAACAGTTTCCATTGTGAAAATCATCAAAGTATGGGAAATAATTATGTAAACATGATGACGGTTCGGCAAGTGTCTATTACAGATAATTTCAAATGTTAGCGCGAAATTCTAGGGATTCCTCCAGAGTTCTTGGCTTTCCACACAGCAACTTAATGGAAATTTTTTTTAAAATGAAGAAGTTACCGTTTAATTAACTTAGTCCTGAAAGCCAATAAAGATCCGCTACCGAGTGAGAGTCAGTGATTGGAGCATAGTTGAAATAAAATCATTTTGAAGGTGCCATTATGAGCATTCGCGTCATTTCAAATCGTACAAATGAATATAGTTGAGCTATCAAAAAATCGAAGCAGATTGTTTGCCCTAGACGTCTAGACCCTTTCGCGCTGTACTTCTAGGAAACCACTAAAATCTGCTTCAATCTCATCGCTTTTCAATACTTAGTTTACTTGAAATAAGAAAATTTTTGAGTCTTGAACTGGCATTCATAGAATAAATTAGCTCAACCACATGCCGCAATATAACTGTTAGAGACCTTCATGTCTATAATAGGAGTATATGTAGCTTTCAGAGAGGTCCAAAGCGGTATGGCCACTAGGAGAGGAATGAACCATTGTAGCATCATAAACCCTGGTAATGGGGTCTTCGATATCACCTGCAAAGAACAAACTCATATTTCGTTGATAACTGTTATATGAAGGTTATCCTCAAAGCAAATGCATAGTCACATTTACTCAAAGAAAAATTATCAACTTTTGCTTCGAGATGTTATCCCGTACTTGAAATTTATTTTATTGAAAAATTTCTTGCACAGCCTTCAATAACCAAGTGGCACAGACTATTTCTACCCAGTAAGTAAAGTAATAAATTGAAATTCTTATTTCCATAGCGATGTTTAGGAGCGACCCTTTCCTTGGAATAAAGCATAGGAGTTTGAGGACGCGCTGAAGACATAGCCCATCACTTTTCAGGCTTTCAAAAACACCCTTCCAATTCTGGTTCCGTGCTTGCATACATGACGTATCTTTGTATTGATATCAACGTGATACAAATGTATCTGAGAAACAAATAGTAGTTGACTGTTATTGTAGTACTGACACGTTTGCTAAAATATATCGATGCCGCCAGAAGAACTCATCGCAGAGTTCGGAATTTCGTAAAATGATGAAGAAATCATAGCAGAGCACAGAAAATATGTCAGCGGCACCCTGAAACCAAAAATCATTGTAAAATCCTTTTAAGCTTTAATTCAACTCTTGGAAGAAGTTAAACAACTCATCACCTGTGAGAGCATGAGAATATGGAATAGAGTCAGCTTCGGCCTCCACCAGATCACCAGCATTATCAAAAGGTAGAGCGGTAAGGTGAGAAAAGTAGTTTAAGAAGACGATATTTGCCCAAGTTACCTCCATCACTAAAAAAGTGTTGTTACAGGAGTCTTTCTGACATCAGAAAACTACGAAAAGGACTTTGTAAACTTTTTCTTAAATATAAAAGAAAAGTTAGGAACGTTTTTGGAAATATTTCGAAGTAATCAAAAGCAATGAGCCGATCTTGCAAAAGCGAGGCTCAGAGAAATATTGGGAATTCATGACTTCGCCAAGGAGGGGACAAATGAGTGCTTAGCTATTGTTCTTTATTTCTTGAGAACTGAAAATTTTTGGACCACGATATGTGCGAACAACAGAAGTTACCTTGAACTCTTATTTTCTTTCAAACTGTTCAATTATGCTTCTGAGGCACCACTGACCATTATAGTTAAAAATCTCTCAATAATCAATTTATCATTTTTTAACCAAACGTTATATACAACTCTTAAAAATATCTACTCACCTTTTACAATATTGCTTGTAAGTGAGTGAGTATT